CCTTCAAGAACATTACGCTCCCAGAGTGCGACCTGGTCGTGGTACCTACGGTCTCTAAATGTACTATGGAGGTAGAGCCTTCAGTTATCAGGCCTGCTTGTGGTACCTACGGTCTCTAAATGTACTATGGGAGGTTGAGCCTTCACTTATCAGGCCTGCTCGTGGTACCTACGGCCTCTAATTGTACTGTGAGGTAGAGTCTTCAGTTATCAGGCCTGCTCGTGGTACCTACGGTCTCTAAATGTACTATGGGAGGTAGAGCCTTTAGTTATCAGGCTTCTCTCCTTTGGAATCATCTTCCAGCAGCTATAGGTTAACTGGCACCTTGAGGTCCTCTCTATCTCTCTCTCTTTGTGCATTTACAGTACATCTTACTGCATGTATCTATTTGTATCCCTGTATCCCTTTCCAAGCTCAGCATGAACACACACACACACACACACACACACACACACACACACACACACACACACTAAAGTTTCTCTCTCTCTCCTTCTCCCTCTCGGATAAAAAAATCACACGTGTCTGCGTCTATAAGTCAGGCTGCGTGTAGTACTTAGACAACGCACGTGCGTGTGTAGGTGTTGCACCCATGAAAAGACCAGGACTCTGTCTTCCGTTTGGCAACTTTATTCTTCCCGGTGCTGTATTTTTTTTAAGATTATCTTTCTTAAGAAGCATCGGGTCCTCACAACAAAAACGGCATACATGCGCATTCATCCTTTGACCACGACTGCAAGCAGGCCGATGATGTCATCAAAACCTAAAATTAAAAGAGTTCATAACAGCTTTTTAATTTCTGTGTAAACTAACATGAAATTGTAGTACCTGTATGTTTTTTTAATTAACAAATTAAACAAATGTGAAATAATATTACTGGTACATACAGTACTTTCTAACTTATAGTGTAGTGTGCTTTCTTCTGTCAAATTGAATTGCATACAAATATTTTTAGGTCGCAACATAACGCGTGGGACTTTTATGAAATAATCACACGTACGTGTGTATGTGCGGCGTGCATGTGATGAACCATTCCGCACGCCATAATACACACACACACACACACACACACACACACACACACACTCATCTAAAGTCTCCCTCTCTCTCTCCCTCCCTCGCGCGTGTGTTTCTAGTCAGGAGCGTACTACTTACACACACAAGCATACTCACAGCTGTGATGGAGAGAGGCTTCTCTCTCTGCTCCTCTGCAGAATGTCTCCTCGCTCCTTTCTCTTCCTCCAGAACTCAAACAATGACATCCTTCAGCCGTCTGTCCTCAACCGTTTCACCTGTCCTGATACCTGTCCGTCTGTCTCTAAGTCTCTCAGTCTGTCTGTCTGTCTTCAGTGGTCTGCCACTCGCTTTCTCTCTGCTCTAACTTGACTTCATCCAGAGTCTTATATCTGCAGGGTCCGATCCCCACAGTCTCCTGTTTTACATGTTGGCCACACCCTGCTAAAGGCACCATCCCACTTTGTGAATGTTGCTACGGAAACGGAGATGGGTTTTTTTCTTTAACATTTCTGGGCGCTTTTGATACTGTTGCTGCGACCGCACCTCTAAATGGCTCTGCTTCACCATCAGCCAGCGCTCTGATTTCATTTACACACACACACAGACACACACACAGACACACACACAGACACACACACACACACACACACACACACTTCCTGTTGTCCAAATATCTTCTTCAGAACATCACGGTCTGTTCCTAGAAACAGTGAAAGCATCATCAACACGCGCGCGCACACAGACACACACGCGCACACACACACACACACACACACACACACACACACACACACACACACACACACACACTTCCTGTTGTCCAAATATCTTCTTCAGAACATCACGGTAATACACAACACACTCACTCACACATACACACTGTTACACACACACATACACACACACTCACACACACACACTCACTCACACAGACAAACTCACTCACATACACACACATACACACACACACACACACACACACTCTCACAAACACACACTCACTCACACATACACACACATACACACACACACACACACTCTCACACACACACACACTCACTCACACATACATACACACACACACACACACACACACATTGACAAAGAGAAGGAGACAAAGAGTTGAATTGTTGAAAAACACTGACTACACAGCTCCTATTCATCTGATTCACACACACACACAGACACCGGATAGAGGGGAAATATGGGGGCTGAATGTTTCGTAAGAAGTTAATGAACCCCTCAGAGAGAAGGAGAGCGCATATATACAATATACAAATACAATATATTTCTTATATTCAAAAGTGATCTGTGATCACCTGTAAACATCCTACAATTCACTTAGCAGACGCTTTTATCCAAAGCGACGTACATCAGAGAGTAAGTACAACACAAGCAAGGATCTAGAAAAAAAGGAACAATGTCAGTCAGAACAAACGCAATCAGCTTTGAGTCCGATTGGACACACAGGTGCTAACAGGAAGTGACCAGAGGCAAAGCACAACATTGACGGCAGTTCTTGAGAGCTCTAATCAGTATAGAAACCATCTTATAAGTCATCGTTATCAACAAAACCATCAGTATTACTGTTAGTACGAATTTTCATGAAATTCATTAATCTTGGTAACTTCGTGAAATGTATTATTCAAGTCTGCCTACCACCTGTTAGCACTCCTACCTTTAGGTGTCTGAAGCTGTAACCTTATATGAGTGAAGCACCTAAGTAGTAGCAGATCTATGTTTGGATAGGAGCCAAGCATATGTTGTCAGCAACTGTTTGCTAGACAGAGAGTCTACAGTTGTTACGTATACAAATCAGTGTCATGTCATCTTTATTGTTTTATGGTGATGCACCCAAGTGGAGGGGAATTTGTGGGTTGCGCCTTTTTGACAGAATATAAGCAGCACTGTGAACACTGTTACTTTGTCAGCACTTTGTCAGTCCAGTGATTTGGAAGCGTGCTTGTTTGATGAAGTTGTCTGACCTCGGCCAATTAAATGGTGTTATAATCTCCAGTCTGTTTCACGATTTCTTCATTGGATTTATACAAACAGAAACAACCCCCACCTAACAATTACCATCATCATCATCAATAATATCAAGACCATCGTCATTAAGTTAGTCGGTATTCATGAAAGAGCTGGGTCTTTAGCTTTTTGGTGCAAGCTAAAGACAGAGGGTGCAGAGGGACTCTGCAGATCGAATGGAGTTTGGTAGTTTGTTCCACCACTGGGGGGCGACAGAGGAGAAGAGTCTAGTCAGAGACTTAGGACCCTGTTGTGAAGGTTGGATCAGACGCCTTTCATTGGCAGAGCTTGGTGGGCAGGAGGGAGAGTAGACCTGGATAAGTTAAAGGGATACTTAATCCATTTGCATTAAGCTTTGTATCATTAGAAACCTGATAGTATTTTTGAATGGTCATGTATCCCTCGCTCATTTTCCCCTGCGATGGGAAATCTTTGTATTTCTGAGTCTGAAAAGTACTGTTTGTTTTAATGTTTCAACGGGTGAAGTTTTAAATTTGATACGAGCAGTAACTGGGAGCCAGTGGAGGGAGATCAAAGTTAAATTTTTTACTTGTATTTAAACGTTAAACTGTGTTGATGTTTCTACACTTTATATTAAACTGTCAGCTCTGTGACTTTAATATTATATTTCTGTTCTTGTTCTTAATTTAGTATTTCATTTTTACTTTAGTTTAGGCAATGTCACCCCCCCCCCCCCCCATCTCTAGAGTTGATGCTCATGCGGTGGACACTGAAGCTTCAGTGTTTAACCAGTTCTGCATCGGTCTGTAAACCTTTCTGCGTTCTAACTTCTCTCCATTTTTCAAAAGCATCTCCAATATTGATTCTAGTTTGAGCACGTTTTTGCTCGTGGAGCTTATTAGAAACATGCAGAGGCTTTTTAGGTCGAGTACAATCACTTCTACCTGAACCAGTTCTCTTGCCCGCTTCCATCACTGCAACACCTGTTGGTTTGACATGTTAACTGCTCTCATATCTGACAAACAGAGGGGCGTCCAAAATGGCTATGTGGGGGTTCCTTAAAACCACCTACCTTCTCTGGTCCAAACAAATCCAGAGCATTCAGGACCAGAATCTAAAGTTAGAAGGAGGACATACTGGCTGCTGCATTGTTGTCAGAGAAGCCAACACTTCAACATAGCATGTTTCCTTAATGTCTGATCATATAGTAAGCTCACTTTATCATTTCACTCACTACACATCTCACTGATTGGACCTTTAAAAGTAGATATCAATGAAGGAGATAGACGAAGTAAATAAACTAAATTCGTTCCTGTGTTTGCGTAGCCTACGCAAAGAATGTAATGTATTAAAATAACAGAGCAGCCTGAAAGAGCCGGAATGTAAAGTGAGGAATGTGGCTCCCTCAAATAACAACACAAATCACGAGGTCTTGATTAAAATACAAGGTTTATTTAGTCCTCCAGACCAACCCGTGAGAACTGAGATTGAGAAAGGAAATCAAAGAGTTTACATTTAGACAACGTAGATAACACACTTTCATATAAACTAATTAGCATAACAATTCCCGCGTGTCATCGCTAATTTACATACATAAACAAAGCAATAAAGCGGCTTATTATCTAAGAGGGGCTAATCCCAGACCACTCTTCTTCTTTACTCTCCTTAAGTTTATATATGTGCGTTAACTTCTTAAGTTTAATTCCGCTCTTCATTCTGTGTCACCTCTGTCAAGGTGCGTTGGCAAAACTGCTATATGCCAACAATCAATAATAATTAGTTCCGCCTCAATGACTGCAGAACAGAACTACAATAATTAAAGGTTGGACAAACAAAAACTAAACATGAGAGGCAGTTACAAGGAGTATCAGAGAGTGTGATTATAATTATTTTTTTATTTTTTTTAGAAGGAGCTTTAATCAGCTTTTTCTGACGGGTCGTTATTTGGAGTGTCCTGTCTCTTTAAATGTTTGAAAGCACAGCGCGCGGTCAGTCTCCTCTGACGTCACGGTTCCCACGGGGAAGAAGGAAAGATGGCGGCGGTGTTGGAGCGCAGCTTCATAGAGATCTGCGGCTTTGAGAGGGAAACTTTGCCGCGCTTCAGAGAAGTCACCGTTAACCTAGGTACGATCCCGGCATGTTCCCGACTCTCACCTCCGTCTATTTTCACATAAACACGTCACGACGCAGGGTTATAACGCAGGGTTTGAGCCAGCGCATGCTATCTGCAGCTAGCAGGCTAACACAGCAGCGTGAGGTGAGCGTGTAGCGTCACGTACCGGGCCCGGGAAAGATCTGTCAAATAATGGCACGCGGCGTGTTTCCGGTTATATACCTGCTGCCTTTGCTCAGGTGGTAGGTTCAGTCTTTAGATTCGGTTAGCCGGTTGTTCCTCTGTCAAACCGAAAGCTAACAGTTAGGGTTGTTTACCTGTAGCTTCCTGTTTTCAGGTTTCTAAAGATCAAGACCATTTATTGCTCATATTAATTTGTCATGTAAGAAATACTCTCTGCTGATTGACTGACAGCTCTGTCAGGTGAGCTGCAGGTTGTGGAGGCTGTAACCGAGAGAATACTAATAGTATGAATCATTTGTATACCTGTGTATACCTTATATACATGTTTATACCTTGTACATCTGGGTATGTCTGTGTATACCTGTTTACACACGTTTATGCTTGTGTATACCTTCATACACCTTTGTATACCTATACCTGGGTATGCCGGTTGGTGTAACCTTTATATACCTGGGTAATGGGTATACCTTGAGCAGACACTTCGGTATACTGTGAGCTCCTCTGCAGGTGTTGTAATGTCCTGTGAGCAGGTTAGTGTTGAACTGCGGGCTGTGATTGGCTGTTTGATCGGTCCTAACAAGTAATCACAATGTTTGTTAATTAGGTAAATGTTTTTGGTTCATGTTTCTGTCTCATTGGCAACATGATCCCCGTTGTTGGTGTACACTCAGCTGATCTCTGTTCATGCAGAAGTTGCTGCTCTCCCCGGGGGGCAGAAGTTCCCGGACAGCGCCGGAGCATTTCACTATGAGGAGAGTGGGAAGCTGCTGTCTGTCACCAGCAACAGATTCATTCACTGGTGAGGGTCCACACACACACACACACACACACACACACACACACACACACACACACACACACTATCTGAATGTCAGTGTTTATGTGGCTCTTAAAGTTAACTGGGTATAATAATAATTTTATTAATAATGAATCTTATTTGGAGCTGACACTGTGTGTGTGCGTGTGTGTAGGTCCACGTCAGGAGACACGGTACAGCTGGTGGAGCAGTCTCTGGACACCAACCTGCTCAACAATGCCGTCAGACTCAAGTTCATACACTGCACAGTGCTGCCAGGGGGCGTCGCCATCCAGGAGACGCTCAACAATGTCATCATCCTTGTCTGCACCAATCAGACTGTCCACAGGCTTGTGCTGCCCCATCCATCACGCATGTACCGCAGTGTGAGTAACGGACTCTCTAACATACTTTGTATGTCACTTATAATGTGTAATTACATTGGTGTGTGCGTCATGTGTTTGTGTGTGTAGGAGCTGGTGACGGAGCTCCACATGCAATCTGTGTTCACTGATGTGGGGAAGCTGAGCCTTCAGGACTCCGCCCACAGCGCCATCATCCCCAGCTCAGCGGGACTGACAGGAAGTCCCTTCACATCCACAGCCTGGCTCAGTCAGTCTGGAGAGGCTCACTATGCTGTGGTGCCCCCTACTGGAGGCATCATGGTGGTGACTCTTCCCTCCCACAACACGCCAGGTACAAGACAGCTGATCTCAAATGATTACCCTATGAAGCCAGTTCGTCTGAAACACACAACACTCATTCTCTCTCTGTGTGTGCAGGCCCCGTGGCGGTGCTGGAGCTGAGGCGGAGCTCTATGATGCAGAGGCTCTCTGGCTGGATGCCATCAGCGATGATGCGAGGTGATCACAGTCCTGCTGACCTGGTGTCCAGTCTGTGTGTGAGGGAGTTAGAGGAAGACTCCTTCATCTTCGCCCTCTGTCAGGACCACAAACTGCGCATGTGGTCTGTCAGGGTAAGCTCTCTCGTACACACTATCCTCCGGCAAAGCATCATGGGAAGTGTAGTGTTTGAAAACCTTTTATTGAAGTTCATTAAACCCAAATGTAATCATAGCTATTATAGAGGGAAGCAGACTTCTCTCCTCTTCTCTGTTCACGGTTTCTAGATAAAATATCTGTAACAAGTCTTTGTAATATCTCTCCTGTAGGAACAGGCCTGTCTGCTCGAGGCAGACATGTTGGATTACATGCCGGCCTGCAGAGGGGTGAAGCGTCTGTCGGGTCAGGGTCACCGCCTCCGCCTGGCCTTCTCCGCCTCAACCGGCCTGTGTGTGTGTGTTTACCTGAGTGTACCCCAGAGAGGACAGTTCACTGTGCTGCAGCTCATCGCCACAGACAACCAGCGCTACAGCCTCGACCACATCTCCACCCTGTTCAGCTCTCAGGTAAATGGGGGTACACAAGGGGTTGACAAGGAAAACTCGGGTACAGACAGAAACACGGGTACGGACAGAAACACGTGTACAGACAGAAACACGTGTACAGACAGAAACACGTGTACAGACAGAAACACGTGTACACACAGAAACGCAGGTACAGACAGAAACTCGGGTACACACAGAAACACGGTTACGGACAGAAACACGGGTACGGACAGAAACACAGGTACACACAGAAACACGTGTACAGACAGAAACACAGGCACGCACAGAAACACGGGTACGGACAGAAACACGGGTACGGACAGAAACACGGGTACAGACAGAAACACGGGTACACACAGAAACACGGTTACGAACAGAAACACGGGCACACACAGAAACGCAGTACAGACAGAAACGGGTACACACAGAAACTCAGGTACACACAGAAACACGGGTACACACAGAATCACGGTACGCACAGAAACACGGGTACAGACAGGTACACGGGTACACACAGAATCACGGGTACGCACAGAAACACGGGTACACACAGAAATCACGGGTACGCACAGAAACACGGGTACACACAGAACACGGGTACGCACAGAACACGGGTACACAGAAACTCGTGTACAGACAGAAACTCGGGTACACACAGAAACACGGGTACGGACAGAAACACGGGTACGGACAGAAACACAGGTACACACAGAAACACGTGTACAGACAGAAACACGGGTACGGACAGAAACACGGGTACAGACAGAAACACGTGTACACACAGAAACACGGTTACGGACAGAAACACGGGCACACACAGAAACACGTGCACACACAGAAACACGGGTCACACAAACACGTGTACAGAAACCCGGGTACAGACAGAAACGCAGGTACAGACAGAAACTCGGGTACACACAGAAACACGGGTACACACAGAAACAAGGTGTACACGGGTACACACAGAATCACGGGTACTCACAGAAACGGGTAGCACAGAAACACGGGTACAGACAGGTACACGGGTACGCACAGAATCACGGGTACGCACAGAAACACGGGTACACACAGAATCACGGGTACGCACAGAACACACGGGTACACACAGAAACACGGGTACTCACAGAAACACGGGTACTCACAGAAACTCGGGTACACACAGAATCACGGGTACACACAGAAACTCGGGTACTCACAGAAAACGGGTACTCACAGAAATACGGGTACACACAGAATCGCGGGTACTCACAGGAACACGGGTACACACAGACACAGGGTTCCCTCGTGTTTAAAAGTTGTTTAATTGAGGAACTAGAGAAAAGAAGAATAACATACTGTACTCACTGCTTAACTGTGTTTCTAGATCACACTCATTTTGTGTAAATGTACATGCAGTGTGAAGATACGAGCATAATAAAGATCGCTAGCATTAGCATGCTAACACAACAATGCACCGCGAGTTGTTTTGGTTTCATGCTGGTGCTCAAGGGCGACATCTGCTGGATCAAAAAATTGCATGTAAAGCCTTTAAATCTGGTAAAGAATTTTTTTTTATTGCAACAGTGAAACATGAGAGGAGAGGGATTTTAAAGGAGAGGGGTGTAATGAGATTGGGAGAGGGGAGGTCATATCCTGCCAGTGCATTTCACCCTCTTCCTATGATGGCTGCTCCTTTCCTTTAAATTGTGTTTTCGTTTTACATACGTCATTTACATTTGTTTAAGTGCATTTATTTGAGTTACTAAGGTATCATGTCAAATAATCACAGATTTAAGTCACAGGTCATTTGGATCATTTGATCAGATCAGGAAATTGAGAAATTATAAAAATATATTTGCTGGCTATAACAGCGCTGTTTGACAGTCTGTGGGAAGTTCACAGACTACAACTGGCTGACGTTACGATCGTTAAGTTATTGAATGTTGATAAAAGCAGACACGGTGGAAGTGAACGGAGAAAAGTTGAACGTGTGTTCCTGACGTGGTCCATAATGATAGCGGATCAACCGTGTTCCGTTGCACTACAAGTCAACAGGTGCGCGTGGTGGTTGGCGTTCCGGTGTGTGTGCGCGTTTGCAGCCATGTATGTATGTTGTCACGGGTACAGACAAAAACTCGGGTACTCACAGAAACACGGGAACAGACAGAAACACGGGTATGGGGTGCGCTGGTGGCGCAATGGTTAGGGCGCGCGCCCCATGTATGGAGGCTGTCGTCTCAAGCGGGAGGCCTGGGTTCACATCCCGCCCGTGGCCTCCTTCCGCATGTCATTCCCCACTCTCTCTCTCTCCCTGGTTTCTGACTCTATCCACTGTCCTATCTCTCTGCATTAAAGGCACAAAAGCCCAAAAATAAATCTTTAAAAAAAAAACAACACACGGGTACACACAGAAACACGGGTACTCACAGGAACTCGGCAACACAATGTTCCTTTATTTTCCTTAAGTTTCAGCACATGCCTCGAGCATTACATGGAGTAATGTTAAAAGTTTGACTTTGTGTGTGTGTCCTCAGGAGACTCTGGTGGACTTCTCACTGACTTCCTCCGACATCTGGGCTGTGTGGGTGGACGAATCAAACTCCTCTGTGGTTAAATACATCAACTTTGAACAGTAAGACACTCTGGGATTATTAAACATGAAGTCAGTTCATGTGTGAGAGGAAACAGCTGCTCACGTGTGTGTGTGTGTGTGTGTGTGTGTGTGTGTGTGTGTGTGTGTGTGTGTGTGTGTGTGTGTGTGTGTGTGTGTGTGTGTTGTGTGTGTCTCAGTACACAGCAGGTCAGTGGAACCAGGTGTTTGTTCAGCCTCCACCTGAAGAAGAAGTTCATATAGGAGTGGACCAGGACCCAGAGTGAGTCACACAGACACACACCATGATTTCTCCTGGCTCAGAATGGGCCTTTGGGGGTGACTATACGCTGTAGTAAACGTTCGACCCGTGTATTACAGTATAGTTTATGAGTCTGTATTATCTCAAACTAATCTTAAATGTTTTATACGTTAAAGGCTAGTGAATTATTGTAAAGGACAATTGGGCTTCTTTTTTTTTTAACCAGTGTTTGATCCCCTCAGCATGCAGGGGTTTTACACACAAGAAGGCTCCTACATTTCATCCGACCACAACAGCATTGCTGCTGCTCTGTTGAATACAAGATATCAGGGCTTTTGGATAGTTTTGTCACTGCATTGTTCTCATCACTAACTTTCAATGGTAAAGGGAAACTTGACCTATTTGCATTACGCTTTCTATCATTAGAAACCTGGTAGTATTTTTGAATGGTCGTGCATCCCGCCCTATTTTCCCCTGAGACAGGAAAGCTCCGTGTTTCTAAGTCTGAAAAGTAGCCTCCGATGACGCAGAACTCGTAATTTGTGACACCGGAGGCTGCTTTGGTTAGAGGGGGTGAAACTACATCGCTAGTTCCTCATGTTTTCAACCAGCCCAATTTCCAAGATACAAATTCCTTCTGGAAGAAGTCTTGGAAACGCCTGTATAGGTAAATGTCTGTAAATAGAGACCTTAGTGGGAGTGGCCTGCGGAGTTGTGCGTCCTGGGAGTTGTTGTCTTTCATCCACATGAGCCAAAAAGACACTTTCTGCCTTTCTCGCGGTCAAGAAGGCACCAACTTCAAAATGTATTTCACATTTCTAACAACATATATGTCAATGCAGATTCATGTTTCAACGGGTGAAGTATCCCTTTAAATAAAATAAAAAAGCACCATATGAAGCTAACTGAGACCAATAAGAGTCACATTCAGGCTGTCTGTGCCAATAT